GGGGGTTTTTTTTTTTTTTTGGAAGGCAAATAACTTTTTAAAAACCATTTAAGCCATTTTTATAATTCGACAAAACTGCTTTCTGCCTTAACGGCTTATGCGCTCAGTTTAAAATGGTTTGAAATTAAACCCTAAAATTGGACTTTGTAATGGGGAATAAATCTTAAGAACAGTGGCACTAATAAAGCATTTAAAAATTCAGTTTGAAAATTACACAGCCGTGAAAATAATTAATTGTTTTAGTGACCGCATTAATATTGCTATCATGCTATACATTATACTCGTGTTTATTTTCTGTCTGCTTTGACCATTTATTTTATGAAGGTACAGGCCTTTCATCTTGCTTTGACCTGTCCAAAAACATAAATTATCACAGTATTAAAAAAAGCTTTTTGAATCATCATCAGTCCTTTCAGAGGTTTAGTCTGTCTGATCATATTCTTTTATTGACTTCTCTGTATTTGGGATGGCTTTTCATATTTTTGTGAGTGACTAATCTTGAATAAATCTGGGATTCATTAATTCGACTGAGATCTTAATCTCATTCTCCATAAGCCACATGTGTATTTAAAATACTGTTTCAATTTTGTCTGCAAATGATCTCCAAGTGTTTCAGATTGTGAGATAATGCGTAATTAACTGGGCATTTTGCTGACTTTCTGCTTTGTCATTAGTTTGTTTTTGTAAATCAAAGGACATAAAGATCCTTGTTAAGTACAAAGAAATACAAACACAATCTGTAACATTCCTTTACTGCTTTGCTTATTACTCGTTACTACAACTGTGTTGTTCACTGTTTTTTCTCTTCATTGTAGCACCCAGAAAAATCATGCTTTGCTTTGACAGTATACGAATGATCTTTATTGGCTTCAGGAGAAAGAGTGTTTTTTAAATTATTGCTATTTTAGCAGAAAGGAGGTATAATGAGACTTGGATTGGGTGAAGGATTATTGGAAAGAATAAATTTTGCTTTGAGTAGTAGGGATTTTTTTGTAGGCCGTTAACCAGAGAAGTGGCCTCCCTCTGAACCCTCTCTAGGCCATCCGCATCCTTCCTGAAGTGCGGTGCCCAAAACTGGATGCAGTGCACCATCTGCGGCCTGACCAATGCCACATAGAGGAGAAGTATCACCTCTCTGGACCTGTTTGTGATGCACCTACTTATGCAAGAAGGGGTGTGGTTAGCTTTGCTTATTACCTCATCACACTGGTGACTCATGTTCATTTTGGAGCCAATTATGACCCTGAGATCCCTTTCCGCAGTTGTGCTACATAGAGTGGTACCTCCCAGGCTGTAGGAGTGTTGATGATTCTTCCTCCCCAGGTGCAACACATGACACTTATCCTTGTTAAGCTGCATCCTATTCTGTTTGGCCCATTTCCCCAGCCTATCGAAATCAGCCTGGATTTTCTCCCTGCTCTATAGTTTGTTTACCTCCCCCATATCTTGGTGTCATCAACAGACTTGGACAGGGTGCTTTCTACTCTCTTGTTCAAGTCACTAATGAAGATATTGAATAATACCAGTCCTAGGAAAGAGCCTTGGGGGACTCCACTGCTGACATTTCTCCAGGTAGAGACCACCCTGTCCATGACCACTCTCTGGGCGCATCCCATAAGCCAATTTTTTACCCACTGGACTGTGTAATAATCTACATTGCATGTGTTTATTTTACTTATAAGAATGGGGTGTGACACTGTGTCAAAGGCCTTTTTAAAATCTAAGTAAATAGCATCTACCTCTATTCCTTCATCTGATCATTTTGTGACCTGGTCATAAAATGAAACCAGGTTAATCGGGCAGGATCTGCCTGCTATGAACCCATGCTGATTGCCCCTTAGCATTATTTTACCAGCTTGTCCCCCACAAATGTGATCCTTAACAATTTTCTCAAAGGTCCTGCCAAGGATAGAGGTGAGGCTCACCAGCCTATAGTTACCCAGTTCCTCCTTCCTCCCCTTCTTGAAAATAGGGACCACACTGGCTCTTTTCCAATCATCCAGGACCTGTCCTGAACACCACGAGTGCTCAAACAGTTGCCAGTGGCTCCGCTGTGACACCAGTTAATTCCCTAAGTACCCTAGGATGAAGATCATCAGGGCCTGTTGACTTAAATACATTCAACCCCCCAGGTGTCCCTTACTAGGTCAGCATGAACAGTTGGTGGGTTGGTATCTATCCTGGGCTTACGTAAAGTCCCAATGGGATGTGTATATGTATTCGTGTCCAGGGACATGGATTCAAAGAAATCGTTTAGAAGCTCCTCTTTGGCCATCCTATCTGTTACCAGTTGCCCTAGTTCATCCTGAAGGGTCCTAAAATTTTTTTAGACATCTTTTTAAAAAGATCCCTTGGCCATCTATTCTAAGGCACTTTAGGCAGTTAAAATGCCTAGTGGGTGCCTTGTGTGATATTGCCAATGGCAGATCAGGTTGGACAACTGCACTTCTAAAAGTGACCAGGATTCTTTGTTTCCATTTTGAGGCACCTTAAAAAAAAGTCCAGTGTGGAGTCGGCTCAGGTCTGTCTCAGAAATGGACCTTTTTAAGAGCTGCCAAAGATGGAGGCACCATCAAGCCATTAGCCACTGTTGAAAGAAATCTGGGTAAAGAAAACTGAAAATCATTCCCTTATGTACTTATAGGTAGAAGAAATACTTACCCTCATGCCCTACTAAATAGGGACAGAAAAATATAGGCATAGCAGGAGAGTTATAGTCCTGATGATCAAATCAGGAATAGTTCAGGTAAATAGTATTTCCCTCTGTATATGAGTCAACCAGCTCAGATTTTTAGGAAAATAACTCGTAAGTTAAAATCACCCATCTTGGAATAATTGTGTTTCCATATGGCTGAATGAGCTGCTGTGTGTGGCATGGCAGATGAGGGCAATATTAATCCTGGATGCCTGCTCCATCAATTGATCTGCAGTTGCATTTGGTTCTAACGTAGATACATTAGCTGTATAATGGCTATTAAAGTGACCCACATGTACATCCTGAGTTGGCCATCCTTGTTGGGACTTCAGCACCGGGATGCAGTTATGCATTTATGATCTAGATACTGCAGACCAGAGGGACATCATAGACATTGATGATGACTAGAAGACGACTGACAGTGCTGAAATCGGTGACTCCAGAACAAATATAAGTAGCATGAGCATACTTAGAATATGCAGAAACAGCACAGCAGGTCAAACCTTATCATTATGCACCTGACCTGTGCTAGCTAGTCTATTTAATTTTCATCTTCAATTAAACTCCTGCCTCACTCTATTTGACTTCAGATGCAGCCAGCACAAACCATTGCCTCCATGTGGAACTTCTACTTGTGGTCACTGGAAGCATCAATAAACCATATGGATTTTATTTTAAAAGCAAGATGGAGGAAATACCAAAATAACCTGGAATACAACACTGACCACCCCACAGCATCATATCCCATCTGAAGAAGGGTACAGATGTTTCAGGAACAGTCCACAGCTATCTCCAAAATGGCTACTACCAAACATACATTGTGTATGCCATAACATAGTACTGTTGCACTACTACACTAGTATGAGTTGTTGGGTGTTCCTAACACAGCAAATCAACCAAGCTGATCAATTTAATGCTGCCTGATGCTCCTGCTTGGAAAAAAAATAAGCAAAAGAATATTAATGTTTTATCAGGAAATGCTGCAGTCTAGTCCCTTGTCTTGCTGTGACCCAATAGGTATCAGATCCAGCTTCTCCACCACAGATGTTTGGCTAGAAAGACATCTATCTCAGTACCAAAGCTTGGTGGTTCTCTGCCTTGAATACTAGGTCTATGAAGCTAAACTGATTGAATAGTGCAAGCAGGCACAACCAAAACAGAGTCCAGCATAGTCCATTTGTTTAACGCTTCTGTTGCCTGTGAATTGAATGTAATTCCAAATGGGAAGCAGCTGGAATATGAACCATATCCAATTTAATTTGGTGTGGCACTGAATTGAGCTTTGACCTTTCACACTTAGAGAACAGCTGTCAAAATTAACAGACAATAACCTCAGTAAACTCTCTGACTCTGTGTGGGGTACATACACTCATACACTATGAACATCCATGCTTACCAGCTGCTACCTAACTACATGATGTCGTGTCATTTATCATATACAATATCCTTGCAGATGCAATTGTACTGCATTGAGCATCTTGTCAAAAACTCTCCATCAAGCTTGTCAGCCCTGAGCAGCATAGCACAAGCTCAGATAAGTCATGAGGATGCATATTAAACTAATGAACCTTGTGACAGTCCAGATCTGCCCTTTTTCCATATGTTTCTCCAACCCACACACAGTTCAGTTGTCATTGAGATGATCCTTGTGGCCCAACATGTTGTGCCAGGACAACCTATAGTTAAGCTAGCAAAAGGATTGGCCTTCAGCAAGGACAGAAAAAGAGTTGTTGATCCAACTGCCCACTCTTGTAGTTTTGCCCTTCCACACAAGTTTGCCCTCTTGAAATAGGTTCAGGATTGGCCAAGTTCACCAGTCTGCACTAAGGGGGGAACAAGCATAACATCCCACAATATGGATGCGAACATGTACAGATAACAATGCACATGGTTGATGACAGACTTCTACTGAGACTTAAGGTCAGTTTGACCCTGTTGAATGCTGCCAAAGGAGCCATTGTCTGTCTTGACAAGAGGAATATTGGCTACGTAGGTAGATTTGCAAATAGACTGTGTCCAAAACTTAGAGTGTATCCAATACTACTTGCTAATCAAGGCATCTAGCTTGTTTCATATCATATGCAAAAATGCATTCCATTTTGTATTTATTACTTTTCAGTGATACAGGGGTAGTTCAACACACGTTCAGTTAAACTACTGCATCTATACACATATATGGAAAGTAAACACCTGTCCATTATTTTTAATTACTTTTTTCAGAAGGGGAAGAGGAAAATGAACCATTCAAGCATTTTGGCCTTAGTGTTAATTATTTTCAATAAAGAACAGTACCACCTGTCTACTGTAGCAGAAAACATATGTTCAGTACAGTAGCAGGAACACCAAGTGCAGCATGGCTCATTTTCAAAACCCAAATGATTAATCTTTTTTGTAATAAATGCTTAGGAAATATTAATACAAAATACTGCTTCGGTTTTAAAGGAAAACAGCCACTATCTCATGGAAAATGAGTTCAGTATATGCCATTACTCCCTGAACTATAAACTGCACAGTGGGCATATCTACATGAGCTGCTAGGTCACTGTAGTGACGAGCTATGGTGACATAGCATCAGTGGGCACTGACCATGATGGCGATGCTACATCTCCATAGCAATGAGCTCTATGTCACTGTAGCTCATTGCTATGTTAACGTAGCATGTAAAAATAACGATGTGCTGCTGGGACTGTGCAATCCTACTACTGAGCAGTCATTTAGTACTTGCTTAGCAGTACCAAATGTGCAGTCCCACACATGTGCAGTGTATGATGTGTATTGTACACTATTCCAAGATGTTATGTAGTATTTTCATCTGTTCCATATGGGGAAACTGCACAGGCTCTCCAGCCTCCATCAATGCAAGAAAAAACATCTATTTAGATGCTGCCTTTACTATTGCTTCACAGTTTACTACAAGTGAAAACCTGGCCCTAGTAAAGTAAACGTGAAGCACTGTGATGAATGTAAATGGGTTTAGATTGTCTCCCTGTTTCAACATCTTTCTAAGTCTTTTTAATGATTTTTACAGTCTATTCAAGCTCAGAATCTGTAGTTAGCTATGTTTATGATTAGATTCCACCCAGAAGAGAAATTAAGTGATTATGCCACATTATCTATGGAGGTGCGATTTGTACCTTCATCTCCCACTTGTGAAGCATTTTCAGCACTGGTCCCTCCTGAGCAGGGATTGAGACACCATGGAAAATCAGTATTTTGCATAGTAGATTTTTCCTTGAAAAAAATGAAACATGGGCTATAAGTGAGATGAACAATAGAACTGGTAACATCTCTCCAAAAATGCTACTGGCTTGAAAGCACAATCACAATGTAACTAACTCGGACAGGATGAACTGCAAATATTAAATTAAAATGCAAACTTTTTCAGTTTGCATTTAGTTGCATCCTCTTTTAGAGTCTGCAGTTTACAAAATGCCGTGCATAGTGTGTGGGGCTGAGAATCTGCAAATTCTGTTGCTGCTACCCACTATCCTACCATATTGAGTCCCCTAGTGGTTTTCAAATTATTTGGAAAGCAAACACAAATGGAACAGAAAGTTAGATGAATGGAAACTTACCTTCTGAATTTCCATGAGTACTCATGGAAATATTTTTTCTACATATTCATTTTTGAACTTCAAAAAAAAAAAAA